TCACTAATTATGCCGCTGAAGAATCATGCAAATATTCAGAGTTGAATATGTAAGTATATATGTCTGTTTGTGGAGCTGTGGTTTGTAGAAGGAATATTAGCACACAGGGGTTTTTTGCTGATTTGTATGCTCCTTCATGACATTTGCCATGTTTCTCACAAGAGTTGGGTAAATTTTATAAGGTGTCAGGTAAAAAGAGTAGCCGTGAGCATATGGATGAGGGAATGAGATGGATAATTGTTGGTAGATTGAAGGCAGGTTTTCAGCCACAAGTGTCTTCTGCAGTTTCGGCACAGTGGGTCTATATCGAGAAGATGTGGACAAGATTGACCAAGATCTGCAGTGATGAATGAAGATTGTTAATTTGTTACCTTCAGTGTGGCAACACGGGACTGCTGCAGATTCACAGCTCGCTGTCACTGGAAACCAAGTTTCACAGTTTACGAGTGGCTGAAGGATTTATGAGATAGGGCTGTATGCTTGGGTTCTTCCAGTGCTGTGTGCTGCAGTGTGTGCTCACTGCAGCACACAAGAGCATGTTGTCGACAACATATACCTTAGCACAGACATCAGTAGTGCACCATGCATTTTGCAGATGAGTCAGCTGGGGCATTGAATCTCAGCGTACCTGTATTTCGAGAGCTTGGAACATGATATCATCTCTTCCTTATTAAGGAAAAGGATCATTATGGTGGTGGAGGTGTATTGCTCTGGGCAGGCATTATATTGAATAGCAGCCTACCTCTGCATGTGTTTGACAAAGGCTTCCTGACTACTATGAAGTATAAAGAGGAGATTTTAGAGGCCAATGTTTGAATTTTGAGGGGTGTATTTGGTCTTGGACTCCTGTTAATGGATGACAAGGCTCATCTGCATTGGGCTCAACCGGTTGAGTATTGCCTGTAAAGTGAGAAAATTTGCTGCATGGATTGGCTAGCTAGATCTGATGATAATCCTATAGAGCCGGGGTGCTCAACCTGGTGCCCAAGGTGAACTTGCATAGTGCCCACCAAGCTTCGGTAAAAAAAAAAATTCTTTTTGCTGCAGCAGTCTTTCTTGGGATTACATGTAGTGGGGGAAGGTGTCAGAAACTTGGTTGGCCTTGTCTTGGGCTTTAGAAACATTGAGAGTGATGATGTGTCTTAACTTGATCCTTCTTTTCGCCTCTGTCTCAGCATATGCACCTAACATATATGTGTTAGTGGACGAAATTCAGGGTAAAAAATCGCATTAAGTGCAACAGCATAAACAGAAGAGACACGGCTATATTGTAAGTAATAAAAACTTCCTGCATGAAATGTATGTTTCATTTTTGTCTCAATCTATTTTTTCGATCTTCTTTATGAGAGTGCGTTTTTTTTTTTTTTTTTTTTTCTTTATGGGCTAGCGTTAACTAGTAACATGATAATATTGCCAAGGAATGGCCTGAATATCACCCGGGATGTAAATGCTATGTGGTGCCCGCTTCTCTTTCTGAAACTGCCTCGTGTGCCCCAGCACCAAAAAAGGTTACCACTGCTGTAGAACATGTCTGGAATGCTTTTGGGAAGGCAATTTCATATTGCCATCCTACTCTGAGGATTATCCCAGAGTTGGAAACTGCCTTGTTCAGGAATGGCATTGACCAGCACAGGGACTTCTCAGCTGCCTGCTGTTCAGTATGCTGTCATGCTGTGCGACTTGTCTGGCTGTGAGAGGAGACCATATGCCCAAAGTATGCAAGTGCTTAATAAATTCAAGATATCCAAACTTGTAAATGAAACATGTAAATAAAATGTTTCCAAAAAGAAAAATACTCTATATTACAAAAATATTCAATTAAATGAATCGGTTCATAAAGTAATAAAAGAGGCCAGAATTTTTTTTAAAATTTGGATTAACTTAGTTCAGTACAAGGACCATTTCAACTAACTGTTGGGTTTTTTACTTAATTCCAAGGGCAAGCATGTTTGTCTGCAGTTACCAGATTTAAGATAGGCTGTAAAATTAATAAAAACGCAAAGAATCTTGTTGTGAGCTTTGGAATGACTAGACAGCAGTACTTAGTTTAGCTTTTAATTCAAAAGCAAGTAAATCTGTTTTTAAAATTTCTATCATGAAACAGAAAAAAGACAGAAAGAGATTGAATTCTTCATGGAAATCAAGCCGTAGTTGTGACTTCAGAAGCTACGTACAAAAGATAAACATGATTTTTAAAACAATTAGTGAGGAATATGGGGGCTTTATTCCAGTTCTCTCCATCAAGACTTTGTACTACCATATGCTGTCATGCAAGTCACATAATAGCTTAGCGTTAAGTTCAATAAGAGACTTGATTTTGTTCTATGGCAGATAGGGCCATCATTATTTCACAGCTTTTTTAAGTCTTGGTTGTTGAAAGTTTAAGTCTTGTTTTTAATCTTGGTTGTGATGGCATGTTATCTTTCATATACTCCCAGTTGTGTTCCTGTCTAGGGAGTGGGCAGACCATGAGCGTGTTTGCATGTGACATAGGCCATCCTGAAACAGCTCTACTGATTATAGTCACTCATTATCCTGATAGAATAATGCTGCAAGTTTCTCAGCAAGGAATGGAAGCATAGATGGTATACATCATCATCCGTGTACTGCTTGGGCTATCAGAGTGCCACGATTCATTATCTGGCTGTCATAAGATATAGCTGTCCAGGTCATAATTCCTGGGGTCATGTGCTGTTCAGCAGCAAAACTAAGATTCTACCACTGGCAAAGGGACATTCAGAGATGAATATGATGGACGTGCAACCCCAAAACAAAACATGACTCATCAGTGGATATTGCAGATTATCATTCTGTGCACTGCACGTTGCTTTCGCTTGGCTCTGTTAGAAACAAAGCTATCGATGCTCTCATGTTTTAAAAGTAAAACATGAAAAAGGGTGCTGGGAATGCAGATTTAATTCTTATCTTGCATGGCACATTCGTGCCTACTAGAGCCACTGCAACTGCTCATAGAGTAAATGTGGTTGCATTTGAATCTTTTTTGTATGTCTGCTTAGCATATGAGGTTTCAGTCTTCTATATTGATGATTTTTCTGGTCCTTGCTGAGCCTGCCGACTGTGTGTGGCTTACCTTACATATCCACTATTGTGTTGCCAACACTGTGGGAGATATTGTCTGAATGATCTGTGTGGCAAGCTATATGGCATGCTAACAACCCTGTGATGTTCATTCTGGAAGTCTGCTAATGAGCAAGTGATGGCCTCTGACATGTGACTGCATCAACTGGAGCTTTTTATGATCATATGAAGTTGATAAGATACTGTTATTTAAATCTGTTGGTTTGCAATTTCAGCACCACCGCTGAGTGTGTGACCACACATAATCGCATCAAATTTTGTGTTATATACCAACATGCATCCTATGTATTTGTGTAGTGTAGTAGTCATGGCATGGTGTGTGCTGGTTCATTGATTATAAGAGTACTTACCTCTCTCCATATATTTTGCATTTACCTGAAATCAGAATTTTGAATCTAGTATTGGGTGGCCCAGAAGTCACTTTACGTTTTGAAAATTAAATAACTTTTTCTTAAATGACTGTATTTAATTAATTCTTTTTTATTACAAAGCTTAGAGTGTGTAAGTTAGTTCTGACTTAGTGACGAAAGATAATGTCTCTTAAATAGCCTCCATTCTCGTCTTCACAAAGTCAAGCTCTTTCTAAGCTATTCTCCATGACACTTCTTAACATCTGAGGTTGTAGGGAAAATGTTTGCCTTAAGTTCTTGAATAGTTCGGGGCTTATTTGCATACACTTTGTCTTTAAGATATCCCCAAAGCCAAAAGTCCGGAGCTGTCAAATCAGGAGAACGTGGAGGCCATTCAAAATCGGATTTTAAGAGAGAGATTATCCGATCCTGAAACATTGCAGTTAAACAACTGCATTGTGGCTCTAGCAGTATGTGCAGTTGCTCCATCTTGTTGCCACCAATACCCTGCCATGTTTACTAAGTGTTTACTAACTGAGGTTGAACAAAAATTCGCTAGCATGTCTCGATATTTCTCAGCAGTAAAATTCAATTATTAAAAGTAAAATTCAATTATCTTCACTCGTTGTTCTGTTTTAAAACTTATCCATGCCAAAAATTTCCAGGGATTATATTTTTTAATTCTGAAAAGAGAAAAAGAAATATATTAATAGAAAAAAAGTTATTTAATTTTCAAAATGTAAAGTGATTTCTGGGCCACCCTATACTATAAAATCTAGGAGGAATATGCAAAGGGGACACTTATAATATTCTGAATAAATTATGAAATTCTTTTGGTTTTTGAAATAGCAGTGAAGTTGGTCTTGTGATATTAGTTAATTAATGGGAAATGTGAAGCTGGATTTTAATAGTGATCTGCTGTAATACTTGAATATATACTGTTATAAAAATTATAGCTGGATTTGTTAAGTTTTAAAATAAAATTTCTCTGTTATTTACTGCACTCTGATTTGTTTTGAGTTTTTTAAGTAAGTTTTATGAGTATTTAGTTTACAATTATTTTTCCATGCTGCTTTTAACTAGTTATAATCAAAGATTTTAGCCACTTCAGCAAAAAGTAGAAAAAATTCATAACACTCGGAGCGTTAAAGTGAGGGGAAGTGATATACGGTCTACGATGAATTTTCTGTATTAGAATCTTGAATTTTCCTAGTAAACTGAGCCATAGTTGATGAACTTGAAGAATGGTTCCACTACAATGCATGCACAATGAAAATATCATACAAAAATGCAAATGACCAAATATCCCCCCCCCCACCAAATTGACTAGAATTGTATCATATGGCATTTATATCCAGATATTTTGGCTTATACATGTGAAATAAGGGCATTTTATGTTTTTAAAAAAGGACTGATGCTTAAAAATAATACTCAGTAGAAAAAATTGGTAATTCAACATGAAATCAGTGGGTAAAATATTCAGTACTCATAATCTCTATAATGGGAAGATTTCTTTTTAATTAATTCCATAATTTTATTAATTGTTAATAGGTCCTTACCTCATCCTGTGCTCATTCAAGACCTTGTTGGAAAATTCATCTGTCGCATTTCAAGTGGTGTTGGGGATAGTGCAGCTGTTACCTCTTCTGGAGAATTATATACTTGGGGTTCTGGTAAAGCTGGCATGTTAGGACATGGTACCATATTCTGTGTTTTCTCGTGAAATAATTGTAATGATTATGTATGTCACTTGTTGGAAAGTTAATGTTAAGAAATGTTAAAATTTATTTTTAAATCTCTGCTTTGAGTTTACATGTTTAATTTCTAACTCTATAAATTTGAATAAAGTAAAATTCTGATGTAATGTGTACTATAATTTCAACATAATATGAACTTAACTTTTTAATACTGAATTAATGATTTTGATGCAGCTTGAAATGTAGCTTTGAGATCCACATCTGTAAAGGTTAATAAAAGTATGTCTGTTTCTTTGTTTAGCTGTTGAATCTTCTGAGTGTGGCTTCCATTTTAAGAAAATTATGGTGTTTTTTCATGCGATATATTCACTAGTTTAATAATAATTCCTATAATTCAGTAATTCTGATGAAATGAAATGTTTTAGTAAATAAAAATAAAAAATTGAGTACAAACCTTTAATTCTACAGCATAGCAGTTTGATTTTCGCATTCTTGTAGAGGCTAGCTAGCAGTTAACTTTACCATTAGTATTTTAAACTGCAATATAAATTAGTCCATATTAGAGGGAAATATTTTGTAAATCATACTCAAATTTTATCAGCTGTTAGTTTCTTTATAGTCACATTCATCATCATGAATTATGCATGCAAATATACCAATTTCCTTTTCTAGTAATGGGAAGATTGCTGTTTGAAACCTGTTTGTTGTTTTTCTGCTGAAATTGTACTGTAGTGTTAGTTTTGTGGTGATAGAAATTTTATTACTTTTAATATTCTGAAGTAGTCAAAGCTACCTGTAATAAAATTATTATAAAGTTAGAAAAATTTGATTTCATTGTACTTAATTACCATTAACATAAAGCTGCATTAGCATAAAAGTAATTTTATATAACTCTTAAATGTCCTTTTAAATATCATGCCAGTATTTATCAGTTTAGGTTCACAGTATGATTGTCATTAAAGCTTGTGTGATATTAGCACATATAAAATGTAGAATGTAATATTAAGCAGTAACTAGCTTTATGGTGGCAAATATTAACTATAAATTTTTTATTTTTTGGAATGAAATAATTTTTCATCTCAGAATATTAGCAGATTTTTTGGAATAAGCTTTGTGAGTAATTAGGGTAAGCATAAATATTGACATGAAATTTTAAATATTATTTAAAAAATTTTCTTCATATGTTTATTGTGCCCTAGATTACTCCATGTTCTTTTCCCTGGTTTCCAAAATTAAAGTTTGAAATCAAGATAGCGGAAGTATTTCATCTTGAAAAACTATTTATTAAGTCATATAGTGGCAATATTTTTCAGGAATTCTGATTTTATTTTCATAATATAGGATTTCTGAAATCTTAATAAATAGCAGTTTTCCAGGAATTATTTTCCACATTTTGTTAGAATTGTTTGTTTTTATGCAAGTATTCATCAGATTAATGTCATTAATTTTATTTTGTAATGTATAATATAGTGCATTTTGCACTGCTTGACATCAGTAAGTTTGGTTTGAATACCTGAAACATATACAATGTTCTCAGAAATTATTCTTACAAACACAAAATGTGATATCTCAAAAATGAATTGGTTTATTGTTATGAAATATTACACCCTGATGTCCAATACTGTGAGAGAGCTGAAAGTAATATAATAAAATAGGTGATAAATGTTTTGCAATATGCACATTAATCTAAAAGATGCAAAATATGGCATCTTGTGTTTTCAGAATGGTCTGCTTGATGAATGTGGCCATCTTACATAATTTAAGATGGTTTACAACAGGCTTTTATATTATAAATGAAACTGCTGTAATGAAGCTTGTGGTAACAAATCCTGTTGTTCTAAAAGTGAAGATTTTAATACCTGGGAGGCTTTCAACATTATGCAGGGGGACATTCTAGAGTATTCCAAACATGCTGTATGGGAATTAGGTCTATCAACGTTGCTGGTCATACCATACTGTGAATACTCTCTTCCTTCAGTAATTGGCCAGTCATTTGAACTCGGTGTGCCTTCACATTATTGTCCATAAAAAATAAAGTTTTCTTAAACAGTTTCTGGGAAAGGCATGATGTCAGGCAGTAGTTTCAAACTGGCAGCATGCATTTAGGCCCTAAAGCAATTTTATATGGCCCATAAATATGTTTAAATTATGTATTTGTTTCAAATATGGCGTTGCAAAAATTTCAAGATTTTAGTGGTTTTTTTTTTTTTTTTTTTTTTGTGTGTTTAAATTGAGATTATATTCATTGCCATGAAAAAATAACATGAATAATACACCAGAAAATCTATAAATGGAGCTAATTAATTTCCAGTGTAATGTAAATTTTATTCAAAGATTTGTGATACAGATTGTATTAATTTGTATTTTTACCTGTCAAAATATAAATAAACTCAGTTATGAAATTTGTGCTAAAAATAATTGCTTTGTTTGGGAACATTTTATGCAAAACAGCATTTTTTCACAGTTGAAAATTAATAAAAGACTGATGAACATCTACTAATCCATGATGAAGATACTTTCTAGTAATTTCTTTCCAAGGCTACAAATGTTATCAGAATTGAAATGCCATCAAGTGCCAAGCTGTAATAAGAAACAGAAATTTTTAATTATTTACATACACATATTTGTATTTTTACTTCTGCATCAAAGGAAACTTTAATAAATAAGATAAAGGCATTAGGTTATTATTTATTCTCGAGTTTTGCCCCAGTTAGAAATTTTTTCTCAGTTTTCATAATTTATTTATATTTGAATTAAAGTAAGTAATTTAATATTCAGGTCTCGATACATTGTGTAACCAACAAAAATATCTTGCTGGTGCCAAATTTTATAATTCAGGTAGAAAATAAATACAGATTTGAATTTTATTCCTTTGTGATATTATTTATGTATGTTTTGGTAAAATTTATGTAAAATATTTTTTATTTTGTTAGAAAAATTCTCATTTTGTGAAAAAAAAATTCTGGTTTGTCAGCTGTATTTAGATCCTGTGTTTGGTCTTCAGTGGGGCTCCTGATATAAGATATAACTTCATCCCTTTAATACTGTGCGTTCACAGTGGCTGGCTTCTAAGACATGCTGTGATGTGGCCATTCAAAACATGATATTCCCAAAAGTAGTAAATTTCCTTTATTATGAAAGGAAGATAGTAAGCTCCAAGATCTCACCAGGTGGAAACTAGTCAAGAATTACTCTTGTGTACTGAATCTCAGCTTTGGACAAGACTTGCTGTATCTAATAATGTTTGCATAAAAGTTGAACTCTCTACAACGATCTGTTGAGGCTACTGCTGATTGTGTGACATAAATGGAATGTTCGGTTGGGCTTCTGTATGCAGTTGGAAATTGTAGTCCCAAATGCAGCAGAAAGGTCTGGAATGAGCTGTTTAGCCATCATGTCTTTATAACATCAAGTGTTTAATGTGGCATATCTCTCCTCTGCAGGTGTTATTGCTCTTGGATGGCTTCCCCTCGTGATGCTACTTGGTGATGCCACCTGGTGATGGGAGTAGGGGTCATAACTTAGATACTCCCATTTGAGCCATTTGTAACTAAAAGAGATTTCTGCTTGAGGCTTGTTAGCCTCCAACCTTCCTGTGGCTCTTCATTTCAATCTGCGATTTACATCCTCCATGCTCAACCTAGGGGAGGGGGGGAAATCCTGGCTTGGAGAAACATCATTTATTACAAAACTAGCTGTACTGATTACACAGTGCTAATTGAAAAATTAATTTGTCACATTGTGTGGACTGCAAAAAAGATAAAATAAAATAAGAAATAAGAAAATAAACTTTAGAATATCCAAGAATTTAATTTAAAAATTAATGGTTTGCTAATGGTTTGAAAAGAAGCTTTTGATTTACTTAACGTTTAAGGGAAAAGTCAGTTTCTATGTGAGCTTTTTGAATATCTGATTTTAGAATATGATGATTCAATAAGATATATTGATATGAAGAATATGACCAATCTCTTTGCTCACTTATCTGAAAGTTGTGTCTTTTAGGCACTAACTTCCGTAATTCAATATATTCCACTTCTCTCTTTTCTTTAAAAATAACCTTCAAATTTATATGATTTTTTGCTTGATTAATTTTTCAATTAACACTGCATGATTAGTGCAGCTAATGTTGCAATAAATGTTGTTTCTACATGCCACAGGTTTTCTACAAGCACAAATTTTAATATATCTTAAATCTTGAAACCTGCTTATAAATTTCTTTGACAAAGCAGCTAAATAATATGAAATTATTATTACAAGGTTTGAGTTATTTATGTGTATTATTTTTTAGTGTTTGTAATTAGTATTAGCTGTTATATTTTTAGTAATAAATGTTTAGTTTCTCTTCAAAACCAAATACTTTCTTTGCCATCTGCGAAATAATTTTATTTTGCACTGTAAACCACTATTGAGGTTTATGTTTCTCCGTTATGTCATACTGAGAGATTAAAACACACCATCACTCATCATTTTTAAGTTTGCTGTACATGCTATTTATTTTTGTAAAAATTAATTTCTTGGTGTAAAAAAGCAAAAAGAATCCAGAACTATTCATCCACTTCATAATCTTACCAAAGTGTGCAAAGAAACGTTATTCTCATATTTTAAAATTGCAGGTAGTTTTTCAATTTTCTGTTCAGTTCTCATGAACTGGTAAAACTCACTATACTTATTTCAGTTTTCATAATGGCATCTAGTAGACATGCATGCTGTCAAGATGAATGACAACACATTTGTTAAATTATATTTTTATTTTAATAAGGAAGTAAATCCATTTTCTACTGCCATTACTGATATATATCCATCTGTGCATATACAACTATTTCCTTTATCTTGATCTTATTCTCTATTAGAAATGTATTAATAATATTAAAAAAAAATCTTTGCCTTTGATTTCGCATGAGAAGAAAATAAAAAAAAATTTCATGAATTAAACACTTGTAGAAGACATTAGGTATTTTTTGGAAGCAGGAAAGATGAAAAATAGCAAACGCCTTCACTGGGAATCGAACCATGGACCTCTGGACTACCGACCCAGCGTGCAGAACCACTACACCACGAAGGCACGCTGTGAAGGCAGAAGAAATATCTTATATACTTCATTTTTTAAAGGGCAACTGGGGTTTTTAGGGGCCCCAGTCGACAAATCCTGGGTGAAGAGAATCATCATCCAACACCCTTTTAGTTCGGGCGCCACTGTAGAGACATTAGGTGTTTTTTGGAAGGAGGAAAGATGAAAATAGCAAACGCCTTTGCCGGGAATCGAACTACGCACCTCTGGAATACCGGCCCGGCGTGCAGAACCACTACACCACGAATGCACACTAGGAAGGCCGGAGAAATACCTTATAGACTACTGTTTGTAATGAAAATAGAACAAATATGTTCCAGAAATTTTGTTTGTGGGATCAAAGGCCAAGCTAAAATCTGTAGAACTTTTTAAATCTTATGATAAGAAATATATTTTGCAGTTTTACAATGTACCTAATGCCTAGCAAATCTGAGAGTTGCATATTTTTTTTTACACACTTATTTGATTTTTATTACTAAATTTATCAAACACATTATTAGCTGAATAAAACATTTTTTTCACAATTTATGCATTGGTAAATTGTTTCATATGTTTGTCAAAGTATGTAACATTTCATGTAATGCTCTTATCACTGCTATATCTTGTGAAATTACTAGCGACAGTATATTTTAATGTTCCTGCAAACATTTCTTGATGAAAGTTAATTCCTCTCGTACAATTAAAGGTGTGACAAGAAAAATGGTCACTAAAAATTGTGTGTTTTATAATGTTATGATAATTGATGTTATATTTTGTTTTGAATATCAATAATATTTCTCTTCATTATTAATATATGCTATTAATAATGTATAATGTTAATAATGGTTTGACAGCAAAGCAAATAAGTTGCTGAATCATCTTTGTTTTGTGCAACAAAATATCCCTCTTCTCTCAATATATTTCATCAGTTGTTTTTCCACTGTTTTTGACGATTTTCCGTTATAAATACCGTAATTTCCGGAAGAAAGGCCGCATCAGCGTAAATGCTGCACTCAAGAAAAATGGCGGGAAAAAATTAAAATTACACAGAAATGCCGCAATAGATTAAATTGCGCTTGACATCGTCGTGGGCCGTATAGATGCAAAAACTCAACCTGAGTCCTGATAAATGACATACCAGTTAAGAAAAATGCATGAAATGAAACCATAACTCAAAAATAAATTAAAGGTAAGAAATGTGGAAAATATACTTACCTTCACGTATATACTTATATTTACCCACTAAAGAAGTCCATATTCGTAATACTCAGACTATATTATAAAAAATGTTGCAACAACGAAATATTAAATTTGGATGACAAAAGGAAATTTTAAATTTTACTTACGAATTACAGCAAACTATACATCATAAGAAGCCATCAAAATCTGATTCTTCACTATCTGAATTAAAAAGATTTAGTAAATCCTGATCTAAGTCTTCCAGATCGTCACATTCATCCTCTTGGTTTACAGTCTCTTTATGTAAGGATATAATTTCAGCTTCTTTGAACCCTGCTATTATTGACAATGTTTCTACCGATTTCCAAGCACTTCCCACTTTGCAATTTCTTCATAAGATGCTCTAGGCATTTTACCACTTTTGGTTTACGTATGCAATCCTTCACTCATCCAACACTCCCACCGCTTTCGGACTTCAGCTTTGAAGGATTTATTACCTGACAAATCTAACGGTTGTACGATTTTGTGAAATCAGCAGGAATTATTGCTTCGGTCGTAGACAATTTTTGACATCTGGTTTTCACTGACTCAGAGAAATGAGCACGCATGGAATCCATTATCAATAACCCCTTTGGTTGGGAAAAAGATCCCATACGACACTGCCAAACTTTTTGTAGCCACTCATGCATAATTGTTTCGCACATCTAGCCATTCTTGTTTGCACAAATAATTATGTCATTAGGAAAATCTCCCTTCAGAATAGTCTTTCGTTTAAAAATTATCATCGGCGTTAGCTTGTCACCGTTTGTGGCACAAGCTAACACACATGTAAATGATGCTCTTTCATGCCCCGTCATAAACACAGATACAGTTTTTATCAACAGTTCTGTTTGCAGGAGAGTCGAAAGCTAATGGCATTTCATCCATATTTATTATCTGTGACCGAAGAAGTTTTTTTTTTTCAATAATAGCTGTCACATATTTTAGAAAGATGACTTTTTGTCCTGCCAGTCCATTGGTAATTGTTGCCCGACTGTTGTTCTAGTACGCACAGAAATATTTTTTCTTTTCATAAATCTGCTACACCTCCTTTGAAATCATTTATGTTCATTCGTTTTGCTATAAATTTTGCTTGGAAGTGAATTTTTACAGTCGAAATTGCTATTCCCTTTCCTCGTCGCTCCTTTATCCAGTTTGCAAGGTCGTCCTCTAGATTTGACCACCTTACAGTACCACTTCTTTTGGCTCGTTTCTGTTGTGGCATATTTTTAAGAAGTTCTTTTTCAGTTCTCCAATGTCGAATACATCTGTCATCCACTTCAAACTCTCGAGCTGCTGCTCGATTTCCAATCTGTTTAGCACGTGAAATTCCATTAAACTTAAAACTAGCAGTATAGCTTCTGTGCCGTTGAGGGACATTTTCAAAAATTTCCCGCTCCCTTCTTACTTAAAAACTATCCAACAAGTACTTGTACCCAAATTGATGAGATCTGTATCTGCCAAGAAAAATCCATTCATGCTGAAGGGGAAATATGTCAGAGTTTGTTATTGCGAGGCAGGTGGAGTCGTGTCCGCCTTTGAAAAAAATTGCAGAAAAGGCAGGTGTGGAGAGAGGATGGGTCCTGGAAGATTCATCGAATGGCAGAGGAGCGAGACTATTCAACCTGATGAGAATGTTGATTTGAAAGAATGCTATTGTTCTGAGATCTCGTTTAGGGTGAATAAGGCATGTAGGTCCGTTCAAGGGAAAGAATGTAAACAAAATAACGTTCGCAAAAAGCAACTGAGTGGTCTTTTGTGTGGGAACAGCACCAGTCTATACACATTGACAAGACCATCCAAACTATGTACTATGACCATCATAGGAAATATTTTATTTTTAGTGCACCTAAACACCGCATGGGTAGAAACGCCGCACCCGCTGAAAATTTAAGTTTTAAACACGTAAATGCCGCAGCGTTTCTTCCGGAAATTATGTTAATAAAATTTTAGAAATATAGGCTTAGAATTAAAAATGAAGGGGTATCCTTGCTATATGTTTAGATTCAAATACTTCCATCTTTGTTTATATATGTCTTGTTTGGGTGTGAAAAATTTTGTTTAGTATAAGATATTTTTTTGGAATCAGACTTGAGTTCGATGAGTCGTGCCTGCGAGCATTACCCTTGTTTACTTCTTTCGATATAATGCTGGGACTGCCCATGAGCATCAGTATGCATGATGTCACTATTCAGTAAACAACCCTTTGTTTTAAGAAAGTTAATAAGCAATGAATAAGAGTCCAGCAATGAAAAATGATTAGGATCACAATGGAGGAGAAAAAAAGAGATTGTTAAAAAATGTTAAGATGGCATGCATATCCAGGACATGGCTACTTTATGCTGTATTTGAGAATGATTGTATATGTGACTGTGAGAAAGGTGCTATTAAATAGGCTTATGTTTTGAAGAGGGTGAAATTGATTCCTAAGCAAATGGCAGAGACATTAGAGCATAGTGTAAAATTGCTTTTGATCTGGACAACAGAAAAACATGTACACTATTTCGTTTATGTACAGTATATATTTTATCCACTGCATATGTGTTTAGTATTAACATTGTTATAACAATAAGATCTTTTTTATAAGAATGGATTAATATTTTTCCTTTATTTCTTGCTGGAAATGTTTGTTATATATACTGTTTGGCTTATATTCGAAGATCTAGAAGGGATTAATGATGTATGCCAAAGCAATTCGATAACAGAAAACCGAAAGTGCTTTGCCCAGTCAATTATTGACTTTAGATGCTGCAGGGAGTACAGTTAAATGGGACAGAACTAAAATCAACAAATCCTGGCGCAAAAGCAGCCTTTAAACTAGAGAAGTATTAGAAATCATCAAAAGACCTTATTGCAATAGGGATCTTCCTTTCGATCTGCCATACAATTAGATATCTATCCTCAAAAATACAGAAACCCTATGCCTGCAGGAAGCAAAATAAAAGAAGAGGAATTTTATTGAGCAATTCATAAGTAGCATTCTTCATTGATTTCATGGTTTCTTTATGATTTTGACTCTTCAAGAATTTGTTTGAAATTCTAGGCCAATTTTCACGAAAATCCGGCACCTGCCATTTGATTGGCTGCACGAAATCACATTGCATTTGTTTTTGCTACCTCATGCATCACTTCTCTATCTCACGAGACTTATATCAAATACATTGATAAAATCAATATCAAGAAATATCACATATGTGTACAGTATTTTATCATACAATTCAAGAGCTTCAATTTCTTCATCTACCAGTATGAGGTAATATGAAACAGCTGGAAAGTGCTAATAATAGTTTAAACTAGTGTAATGGCAGATTCAACTTAGTATCTGAGTCATTCATTCCGATTCCAGCTGCTGAAGTATATGGGTCATGTGCAGAAGGCCGTTAATTACTAATATTAAAAAATGGTTTAATTTGTCAAACTAGAATATTTTATTTTAACTTCATTTTAATATGCCTTTTTATTTTTCAACATATCATTCCTACAGGTAATAGTGAAGACTGCCTTCGTCCAACATTAGTGGCTGCTCTTAAAGGTGTAAAGATTGTTGATGTTGCTATAGGAGGCCATCAAACCCTTGCTCTCTCTGAGTCAGGTGTGTAGATATGTATTGCTGAAATTATCATAACTCCAAACATATTTTTTTATCTTAGTAGTTGTATTGTCATGGCTCACTAGGTTTTTATTTTAGCAAAAAGTCTTTTAAATATATATATATATATATAATAGTAGTAGGTAGAAACATTGCAGCGAACTTGCTAAAAAGTTACCAGGAGCTGTAGCTCCACGAAATATTTCAACGCTGTATTACTAAAATATAAACTAAGAAGAAATTTTTTGTCTGGAAAAAAACTGAAAACATGGAAAAAAAAAAAAAAACTGCCAAAATTAATGTTGGAAGACATGCTAATGCACGAAAAATTTAATCTGACCATTGTGATATGTCAAAAGTTAACACACATAAAAATAGATTGACGGAAAAAAATATATATATATATAAGAAAAGTTAATACATATAATAAAAAAATATATGGACTGAAAAAATGCCAATACATAAAATGCAAAAATTAAAATGAAAACATAAGAAAACATAAATTGCAACAATAAAAATACAATAATTATATAATATATATATATATATATATATACGATATATATATATATATATATATATATATACATTCATTCAAGTAATTCTGCTGTGTGCATGGACAGGTTCCTTAAGAGTCACTAAAAGTCCTTAGATTTTTTGGAATCGATTTTTGGTCCTTAAAAGTTCTTAATTTTGGCCAAAATCAGTAGAAGATCCTTAATTTTAATCATCTGAAATTTCTGTCTCCATTTACGACTGCCATTTTGAGTGTGAATTGGCATTTTAGAGGAATACATTTGGCTAATACTGCCTTATATATAGTTATCTTTGAATGGGTTCATGAGTTTTAATTTGTTTCTATTTCTAATATAAATCATGGGATACTCAAGTTTGTAAGCAAGAAATGAAACATAAGCATTTCGAAATTCATTTTTTCTAATAAAGAGCTCTTAAACAACTTTTCGCTTTTGGGGATGTGAATTCTTTTATTAAACGGTTCTAAATTTGGTGACGTTTCAACATTTTGGCGATTTTAAGATTAGTTTCTATAGAAACTTTTTAATTCCGAGATCTGAGAATATTTCGACGATTTTTTATAAAACATTGTAACATTGATAAATTTCATTAAAATAATGGTAATTATATTGAAATTATATTTAAAAAATAACATTAAAATTTAAAAAAATTATTTTTTGCTGTCATATTATAAAGTTTCAGTTTGGCAACTTATTATGTACTATTTTGAATCTGAAAAATAAGGTATAATGCTATAAAGCGCATCAAAAGCAAAATTAGCTATGTAATTAATTGAAAATGTTTTGTTTTTAATTTTTTCATAGTAAGAGTTTTTCCCATGTAATTGTCTCAGAGTGTTGATCAGTGTTCTCTATAAAATTAATTTTATACTTTCTCCCTTCTTTCCCCCAAAAAAATATTTCTGCCTTTTTGCTGTTACAGAAATGGTAAGGATAATTTTTCTTTAGGATTTTAGACATTGCAGCTTGGAAAGTTTAGAAAAATTTGAAGGCAAGATTTATATACCCACGATTCTAGAACATTTGAAAATATGTGACAAAATGAAAAATGTCTCCTTGGTGTCAACACATAATGGATATATTTTACAGAAAGTTTGCGATGAATTTCTTACTGTTTGGAGAACGTCTGGAAGAACAATGAAAATATAATACTTGAATATTTTACTTCTGATGCTAGAATCTTAACATGTTATCTTCCCTTTATTTTGTCTATTTTTGACTAGAAACAAACATGGAAAATATCAAAAATGCTTCCAATCTTATCACATGGGCAGGCATTATAGAAAGGGATTTTTTTATTAATAAAGAAATTGGAAAACTTACAATTTAAAAGATTCATCTAATATGTCTTAATGTATCATACACAGAGCTGGCACTAGGCATTTTCCCACCTGAGGTGGCATTTTCCACCTCTGTGGATCCTAAATTCTGCTGCCTAGTGCCTTTCTAAATTCTGCTTCCAATGCCTGCTCTAAATTCTAAAAGTTTTGCCATACTAGATTTTGTTTGGTGTGTCTCTTAATTCTAGAAATTCTGCCACATCAGCTCTGTAACCGGCCTTTACTATATATATTTCATATTTCTTCTCAATGTTCATATTACTAAAGAAATAAAATTAGCCACTTTTTCTGTACATTCTAAATGCATTTAGTGTTCTTTAGAATGACAGAAATCCTTAATTAAATCCAAAAATTCTAAAATGAAAAGGAAACATGTTGAAGAAAGAAACTGAATACATAAAGAAAATTATTCTTCAAAGATATGTGCAATTATTATTATGTAAATTTCCCAATTGTTTATGATTTCAGCCTTAATATAATTTCCCATTTATATTTCCTCATATGATAGAGTTATTGAGCCAGATTAAATTAAAATTAAATTGTATAATTTTGGACTGTTCTTGTTTAATTACGTTACCGTGAGCTGTAATTGATTTTGTTAGCATTAGAACATGCCTTTATGTTCTAAGTTCTTTTCAAATAAGAGGCTGATTTAAACCTTTGTCTGATATTGTAGTTAATTTCAGACATAGCGATAATGAGCTTCACGTCTGTCAGGGATTTTGGACTATTTAACTTTTACCAGATCAATTAAACCCTCATAGGTACATTGTGGAGAGGTTGACAAGTTAGGAGATAAAGCACACAGAAACTAGCGAGATTGCATTTTGAGACAACTCTCTAATTGTTAGAAAAGATGCTTAAAGAGAAGGAAATCGATATAAACTAGACAAATGTCTGGGAAAGCTTCAAATTTTGAGTGTTGTTGTTACAAAATATAAATGTTTTGTAGCTTTTAATGCGTAATTATCATAATATCATTTAAGAATCTGTGTCGTAAATTACATGTATTTTAAACTGTGAAATTGTATTAGATTTTGATTTTAATGGGGCTAAAATTTAATAGTGGTCATGTAAATCCTTAATGACTAAGGCTATCAAACTACCTAATTTAATTATTTATAACTAACTGCTTACCCTTAAAAATTATCTCTACATATTAAAGTGAGTTATTGCCTTTCGTTAATACTCACTGTGGTCACAAAATAAAATATAAAAATGTAAAAATTAAAGTAAAACTTATTCTTTGCATCTACTGAGACTTAAAATAATACAAAACAACTTATCACCTCTGGTGCTTTAGTGGCCTTATTAGAACCTTAAAGTATATTAACTGGGTTACTACAACCCCTGGAACTGTACACGAAGCTACAACACTAACTGCATCAAATAGAGCTTGACTAACTTTCGAAACTTGGCCCAACCATGCCTACATCAGGCATTTCAGGTTTGTTCTAATCAGCAGGTCTCTCTCTAGACAAGCAGCAGCAGTGACAACATTGAGTCTTTTGTTATGAATCATACTGATTATGATCTTATTTCTCATTTAATGTATGCTGTTGGACATAAAATCTACCTGCTGTTTACTAAAGCTCTAGACTGATCAAGTATGTGACAAAATGACACATAAAAAAAAAAATCAACATAAAGCTAACTGTTAGTAAAACGTAAATGTCACTTATCTTCTTTCCAATATGACCAATTACAGTACACAGTCTTTAATTCGGACGTCCATAATCCGGAATGATCTATAATCTGGACCTCAAAGCTACAAATTTTATGTGCATGCGCATAATATGTTTATGCATGCGTATATGCTTTTATGCATGTGCATAATACGTTTACGCATGCGCGTTTAATGCGCACGTCCGCTACGCATGTGCTTAAAGGGAAGAGATTCTGTTTATAGAGGGAGAGACTGTTTATAGAAAAGAGAATTAAAGAGAAAGTATTAGCACAAAAAGCGAAGCAACTTAAACAACTTACATTGAAAGAAATGTTTAATAAAATAAACAAGTAAATATTAAGCCTTTTTTTTTTTTTTTTTTTCTTTTTTGTAAATTTTGGTACCTTTTAGATCACAATTGCTCTTTTATTTCATAAATTATGGTTTCATATTTTTAATTGTATAATTTCTGCATGCCATCTTACCAGATTTAAATTGATGATCTATAATCTGGAAAAACCCCTAATCTGAAATCGCCGAAGTCCCGACGAGTCCGGATTTATGGACTTTTTACTGTATTATAAGTGTAAAATATTTAATGCTACTTGATAAATTGCATAAAGTTTATTTTATTCTCAAACTTATTAACAGTTATGTTAATTAATTCATATGTAGTAATAATGCATACTACTTGGGATCTATTTTATTTTTAGGATGGTATTACAAAAGTGAAATTCAGGCATAGATAATATTTTCAATTGAATTTATTCAGTTCCCATTTGCTCATAGGTCCTTAATTTTTTTCCATTAATGGTCCTTAAAAGTACTTAATTTCCGTGTGCAGAAATGTGTACGAATCCTGATGGAGAGTGACTTTGAGTACTTTTTAAATATGTCACTACTTATACTAGAAAGCTGTAGTTGTTTTAAATGATTATTTTAATGCTAATTTTGACAGATATATTTAGATTTGTTCATCACATCAGAAAAGTATAAGAATTTTATTTATTGTAAAATCTTTTTAAAACAGTGGCAAAAAATTGGGAGGAAAGCATATAATTAACTACGTAGAACAGTACTAATTATGGAACTATTATAAACGGAAATGTTAAATAATCTTGGAAATGATATAAATATTGAAAATACAATGCTTTTGCATGTATGTAATTGAACTTGGATGTAAATATCAATCTCGAATGACATGTCTTTACAGCATCCAGTAATACTTTTTCATCATTATTCTCAATGGATACTATTTCACCTCTTTCTATGTTCTTTCATATCTGTTTTATGTCCTTAAACTGCTCGAAGACTTTCTTCAAAATGTTGTGTTATTTATGAATATAAAACGTACTGTGCAGCACTTATTTATGTTCCTTAAAATACTCACCATCTTTCTGGTAAAGTAAAAGCTTTAAAAAATTATTTTTTTATTTGCTGTGAAGTGTCAGTATTTGAATT